CTGGCCTGGAGATGAGTGTAGACCGCAGAGTCCTGGCCTGATGATGTTGATCTTCTGTGCTGGATTTTTCTACCTGGATTATTGAGCATGCATCAGGATGTTACCATGCTCTGTTCAGCAAAATATGCCACACAGTATTGCTCCCTGCTCCATCTGTGCTGAATGTGAAAGTGAAACTTATGTGAACGGCCATGACTTAAAAATAGTCTTCGTGTGCCCTCTACTGGACACATTGTGCAATTACAGCTGGTTCCAGCATTTTAGGGGTGAAAATTAGAAGTGCTTATATCAGCGCACAATTATGACGGAGATGATATGTCCCCAAACTTCTATATCGGCCTCAATTATCGGCCTATCAATATTCTGTCCGGGCTCTAATTCTTATTGCTGATGTCGTTTTACCTTGATGTTGTGTTAACACACAGCTGTCTGCTCCAGAGTATCAATTTTACAAAGAGGTGATCATATTCGTCCATGTCTGCATTAAATGTTCTGCCTTTTGTTGTTGCAGTGTGGAACTGGATCTGCGAGGCAGCAGGTATGTCTTCATCATACTCCAGATTATTTTAGTAATGTTTGCAGTTCTGACTGGTTTGTCGGCTCAACAGAGGACGTGGCTCTGGACTCAGAATCTGCCAACCCTGGTCTGCTCATCTCCGGCGATGACAAACGTATGAGGTGCGGCCTGGAGCGCATAGACGTCACCATGAGCCAGGGACGCTTTGACGGCTGGTGGTGCGTTGTGGGCCAGGAGGGCTACACCTCTGGACGCCACTACTGGGAGGTGGAGGTGGGCGAGCGGGATTGGCGGCTGGGCGTGGCCAAAGCGTCGGCCGTGAGGCAGGGCTTCCGCCCACTGAACACAGACACGGGCTACCTGACCATCCGTCTGGAGAGAGGCACGGATCTGAAGGCCCTGACGGTGCCCACCACTCCTCTACCACAGAACCAGGTGCCCAGGAAAGTGGGGGTCCATCTGGACTATGAGCAGGGCCAGCTGTCCTTCTACAACGTGGAGAAGCGCTCACATTTGTTCACCTACAACGAGAAGTTCACAGAGAAGCTGTACCCTCTGTTTGGGACGGTGGAGGTGGTCAAAGACCTGGTGGTCAGGCCCGCGGGGGTTCGAGAGCCCTGCCTCTGTCCCGGGCCTTGCCTGTGGAACTGAACTGTCGGCAGCCCAATGTGTGATTCTTGTGATGAGGAGCCTTGGCACAAGAACCGACCTCCTCGACATTTACTTTCTGTTTCTTGGCCTTCATATTTCACTTTTAGTGTTTCAGGGATGAAAACCTCAAAAAACAGGACAACCATTTTATTTTTTTCATTGTTTCCAATGAGTCTGTGGGATATTTAGGAATAAAATAAAACTTGATAGATTTTCATCCCACATTTTTAACTTCAGGTTTTGTTGAACGTTGCGGTGCCGGAGACGTTTGAGCAGCAGCTGTGAGTCTGTGTGCACAAAGACAGACTGACGCATGCGAACAGTTCATCCCTGCGTGACGCTTCCTGCCAATATTTGTCATCTGACCACAGAACAGTCTTCCATTTTGCCACACTCCATTTTAAATGACCCCTGGCCCAGTGCAAACGTCTGAGCTTGTGGAGCTTGCTTAGAAATGGCTTCCTCTTTGCACTGTAGAGTTTCAGCTGGCAACAGCGGATGGCACGGTGGATTGTGTTCACTGACAATGCTTTATGGAAGTATTCCTGAGCCACCGGTTATGACGACAGATTATTACACAGAGTAAGGATCATGGATCATTTTAATTAGGGATGGGGCCGATCCGGTATCGTGCTCCGATACCAGCATAATTTGCGTATCTGATTTTTCCGATCCAACCTGCAAAGATTTCCGATCCATGATGCATGTCTGTGTCTGCACGTTGGCTTTAAACTATGGAATGGATTTCCTGAATGGAGTTGTGTCTCATGAACCCAGAGTAATAAGACCCGCCTCACATTCAGGAAATCCATTTCATAGTTTGCAGTCAGCTGAAACGTGAAGTAGCACTGTGGCTAACAGCTGACCAACATTTCATCCAAACATGTCTGCTGTGTGGAAGTATTTTACACTAGAAACACCACAAAACAAGACAGCAACGTGCAATGTCTGCAGAGCCATAGCGCCACATTAAACCACGGTAAAGTTAGTTTTACGTTGGACATTCGAGCTCCATGGCTTTAGCGTGGCGCTGCTCTCGCTCAGCCCGAAGCAGGCAGCCCGACCTTGGCCAGCTGCGTCCAATCTGCCCTGCTCAGTCTGCCTGTCTCTGAAGAGGGGCAGACTGAGCTCAGCTGACCGAAATCAGACTGCGTGCTTTGGATTGAACAAGATGAAGACATCGCTGAAGCCCCGGAGCTCGAATGTTTACAGAGAAGTTGCTAAACCATCATAATTAATGACAAACTGCAATCAGTTGTTGAAAACGAAGGATTTTGCAGCTTGATACTTGCAGCCAAGATATAGTTTATCATCCAAGCGATATTTATCAGTGCAACAGTAGACAATTATAAAAAACATATGAATTGAAAATTACAAGAAAATTATATATAAAAAAAGAAACAATAACACAACGCAGCTTACAACATTATAAAAACAGGAACATGTCTGTGTTTGTTTATGCCATGAATTTAGCAGATGTTTAAAGCCATTTAATTAAGAAAAATTTAATTAATTCATTCATTTAAAAGAAACTTAATAAAAAACACAAATTCATCAAAAAGAAAAAAAAAACATTGAATGAAAAGAGTGCAGAAAGAAGAAAAAAATTCTTATATCTGCCCCTTGTTAAAAAAAACCAAACTTTAAACAAACAATCACTTAAATTAATCACTTTAAATCCACTTTAAAGCTAAGAATAAAAAATGTTTTGTGTTAGCAGGATTTAATTCTAACTTTGAAACTTATCCAACATTAATAAAACTTAATTCAAGTTGCCTTTTTGGACATGCATGCACATATTTGTACAAATTGTACTTGAGAGGAGATTATTATAGCCTCATATAAAATCAACGATGATGATATGGGGGGGGGGGTTATCGGTATTGGCCGATATCCAGATTTAGATATCGGGATCCAAAGTAAACAAATGTGGATCCGTGCATCCCTAATTTTAATATCATTCACAATAACAGCACAAGAGCAGTGAAAGTTATGGAGCATGGTGAGTGTTTGCTGCTCATGAGCTTACAGGCGAGCGTCAACACAACACTCAGCAATGACCTCAGAGAAGCAACCACTGCTGCCCATCGATCTGGGAGGTAACAGTCATTTCTAAACAATCTGGAGTCTGTTGTTCTACAAAGAGAAACAGTTTCCACAGGTGGAAAACATTCAGCAGACATTCTTTACACAAGTGGACGTTGCAACAACCTCACCCTGAGGTCAGACTGTGCAATGTGCAGATAAATAAGACTGAGGAGCTTCATCTCAGACTCTACAGGCCTCAGTTAGCAGGTCAAAGGTTAAAGGTTATGACAGGACACCTAGAAAAGGCTGAACAAGCATGGCTTATTTGGAAGAGTTGCAGGAGAAAGCTACTCTTCAAAAACAGACATGGAAGCCTGAGCCACGTTTGTAAAGTTTTATCTTAATGGTTCACAGGACGTCTGGAGCCGTGTCCTTTGGACAGATCAGACTGAAGGAAAGATTCATGTTTCAGGGAAAATGAAGCAGCTCATACCATCTGTCCTGCACGGTGATGGAAGGGTAATGATTTGGGCTTGTTCTGCAGCCACAGTACCTGGTCCTGCAGTCACTGAGTGGACCATGAAGTCCTCTGTAGAGGGTTCAAGTCAGATGTGTCTGACAGATGAACTGGGTCATGAAGCAACAGAACGATGATCCCAAACGCAGCAGCTAATCTAAAACAGAACGGCTCAAAAAGAGAAGAATGAAGGTGTGATGGTCCGAAGTCCAGACTTTACCTGACTGAAAGGCTGTGGTGGGACCTTCAGAGTCTGCAAACCTCAAAGAACTGAAGCCATGCTGTAAACCACGTGAGAGAATACCGTACCTTCCCGTGTATAAGCCACTACTTTTTTCACACGCTTTGAACCTCACAGCTTATCAAACGCTGCGGCTAATTTATGAAGGTTTTTTTTTTTGTTTTTTTGAAGGGCTAAAAAGCTTCCTGCCACCAAAACATTTAGCTTCATCAAACCCTGGTGGTATTTTTAGTGTTATTTTCTTCTCAATCAATTCCACTGTGCTAATAATAAAGTTTGTCAATGAGAATATTTAATTAATTCATGTCTAGGATGTGTTATTTTAGTGTTCCCTTTAATTTTCTGAGCAGTGTATATGTCCAAAATTGTTTTTTTTATTTAAATATAATGTGTGCAGCTTATATTCGTGTGCGCTCGATAGAGCAGCAGTTACGGTAATAAAGTGACACAGAAGACTACACTTTCTTATGAATCTTTATTAAGTGCAATAAAATCAATGCAGATACAAAAAAAATGAAGAAAAGTTGCTTTAAAATAAAAGATACGCTGATTGGAAAGTATAATATTTTACAGAATGTCATTTTGGTGAAATGTTTAACAACATATTCACATCCTGCTCACTTAATTAAAAACACCTCTTGAATAATGTTTGACAAAAGCATTTTAATGAAGCAAAAGCAAAGCAGAGCTCGAAGCCGAAACAAAATACAATCTTTCAGTCTTTACACATTTCTCTGATAAACTCTCAAACTGTTCAAACGTTGCTCCACTGCATGAAAAAACGCTGAACATGAGCTGTAAAGAGTGGAAAAACACCAGCCAGATGACAGCTAAACACAAAAGCATGTTTTAGCTAGTAAATTTGATCATTTAAATCATGAACGTGCGCCTTTACGTGTCAGCCAGCCGTGTGTATATTACCATCGCTTTATGTGCATTTGCAAGTATAAAAATCTCAAAACGTCATTTGAAAACGGGTGTATCTTTTGGATTTAAATAGAATTACAGCATAAATTGAATGAGTTTAAAGTGAAATGGTCTGCGCGTGGTGCAGACCTCTTACAGGCAGGTGAAGGACAGAAGGAGAGCAGGATTTGGATTACTGAGCCATCGTCAGATTATTATGCTGGCCTCCGTGTAAGTCTGGTGTGTTAGCAGATGCAAACCAACAGAGTGGACTAAACGCGTCAACAACTCCCACAAAGTTTGTAACAGACATAAAGACGTGTCCTTTTTTACAAAGTGTTGGCCACATGTTTTTTGTTGTAATCTGTTTGCGTGATCGTTCATCATATACACACTTTTTCCCCTCCGATGGAGTTCTTGTATCGGAAGGTTAATGCGGGCGCAGCTTAAAGTTCTTAGGACTCGTAAAACATTCTCTTTGTGACGGTAGCTCCTCCCGTGACGCTCCGCTGAACCACTTCCCTGGTGACCTGACGGCTCACCATGCCGCCGCTCTCCGTGTGCTGCGTGGTCATCATCATGCCGTCTGTTGGAGGAACACACGTGTAAAGTCTGGTCATGTTGAGAAAACAGCAACAAACTGAACAAACTGTCATGGTTCATGTGTAAAAGTCTTTGATAAAGACTTGTTTTATAAGCTTGAAAAAATATTTATTAATTAAAAATGTTGTGCTAGCCATTAGCCTAGCCTGGACAAAGCCTTTTGCCCTTTGACAGTTTCTTTGACTGACTGTGATAAACTACTAAAAACTATCAAACTATCAGAAATGACCTGACCAGCCATTCAAAGGGATCTCTATATTTACATAAATGACTTTAATGTTGTTATTTCTTTATTCTACTTTCTCTATTCAGCTATTCTAGTTGTTGTTTGTGACACGTGGAAACTTCAAGCTAGTTAAATACATGTTTATTACAATTTTCACCAAAGGACATCACCATTATTTTACTGACACAATGCATTGTGGGGCGATGTGGTACACTGATTGCAGTCGATACTAAAAAGCAAGGATTCAAAGTTCATTCAAATTCAAATACAAAGTTATATTTTGTATTATTCCTTATGCAGAATTTATGGTTTGGAACAATCAAACAAGGTCAACTTGCAATGTTTAATTTATTTACTCTGGAGCTAATACCATTTATGTTAGCTTTGGAGTTAACGTTTTATATACATATACACACATATATATACACACACACATACATACATATATATATAAATATATTTAAGTATGTAAATATAAACACATACACATAAATATGTATATATTTTACATATATATTTACACATACATATATATATATACATGTATATATATACATATATATATATATATGTGAACATATATATATATATGTGAATATATATATATATATATATATATA